TAATATTTTTTATTGCTTCGTTTTCCCAATTAAAGTCATATCCTCTGAAACAGTCAATCGTTTATCGTTACTGTGCACATCTTTCAGAATTTTTTATTTATTTTATTTTATTTCAATTGGTTATTTTAAAAACTGAATTAATTAAGAGAAATGGAAAGAACAGAACGAAAAAAATTGTTCTGCGACGAACAGAACGCGACAAAATGTCGTGCGACGAAGCGATTGCGACGAAGTGATCGTGCGACGAAGTGATCGTGCGACGAAGTGATTGCTCACCTTTAAATGCAAATGAATTGTTCTGCAGAATTTTCATTTGTGATTAATTCTAGATCCAACAACGACCACAACAACAACCACAACAACCACAACAACAACCACAACAACAACCACAACAACCACAACAACAACCACAACAACCACAACAACAACCACAACTACCAGTAAGTAATAGACTAAATTGTTAAATAGTGGTACTAGATCAATTCGTCGCAAGTCAATTTGTCGCATCCAATTCATCGCAATCAATTCGTCGCACAATCAATTTGTCGCACGTCAATTTGTCGCAATCTATTCGTCGCATCTCTCATCATAAAATTCCCGTATTAGAGTTTGATCTTGCGGGAAAATGATACATAGACAGAAATGAAATGACGTATTCAGAGAATAGAAAATAACAACATCTTGTAATTTCATCAAACTACAGAAAAAAAACCGATGTTTTTGTTCGTTTTTCGACGAAATTTTAAATAGAACGTATGTATTCCACCTATCTCCAACCAGTAGTGTCAAACTTGAAACTTGAGTTCAATTGATTTTGCAAGTTTCAAGTGAGTTTTCAAGTTTCAAGTTTCAAGTCTCAACTTTCAATCTAATTTCAGATGACTTTTCCGGCCAGTCCTTTCGCGGCACCCACAGCCGCTGCAATGTGATGTGCGCATAGTGTGGCCACTTCTTTCGCGATCAGTCCTTTTGCGGCCAGTCCTTTCGCGGCACCCACAGCAAGTGCGATGTGATGTGTGTCATAGTGTGGCCACTCCTTTCGCAGCACCCACAGCAGCTGCGATGTGATGTGCGTCGTAGTGTGGCCACTCCTTTCGTGATCAGTTCCTTCGCGGTCAGTCCTTTTGCGGCCAGTTCTTTCGCGGCACCCACAGCAGGTGCGATGTGATGTGTGTCGTAGTGTGGCACCTCCTTTCGCG